AAATATAAAATATAGGAGGAGAAAAATTTTCGAGTTCTCTTTCCTAATTGAATTTCAAAGGAAGTCTCGGGTTACCCGCAGCAGCGGGAGGGTTTTTCCTCGAGCTGCAGCTCATCCGTTTCGTTGTTAATTCCCGCACCAATCTCAGAGTGCGGAGGAGGACGAGGAGGAAGGATAATTGCCCACGAAGCTAATATCGTTTGCAAAAAGCGTATAGTATACAGTATATAAATAAATAAACAATTAAATAAATATACGTACTCGATATGTTGTAAAAGTTGCCGGACGGGGTGCGTACGAGGCAATTGGGCTCCAAGTCGGGGTCTCGCTCGTGGTCGTTGGCCGCGTGGCTTCCTGGCAACCTGCCGTTCAGCCGGCTCATTGTGGGATTGCGCGGTGGCACATCGGGTGGTACCCGCGGTGCCGCGCTGTCCAACAGACACCCTGTAACGAAAAGAACGACGTGCCAAACTTTAGCTCATGTTTATTTATTCATTCATTTTGTTATTACTTATACATATTTATATATATATTTATATTTATATTTTACACATGTATAACAACTCCATGATCATCATTTCTCGTTTAGTAATGGTGTAAATATATTCATTCATTCGCACACGTGCGCAAGAAGGGCTCTACGAGCCACCTCTTTATATATTCTATTGGTTGTTAGGTTCATCCTTGTACCGCGTTAATTAGCTGTATTGTGCGGGTGTGTGTTTACTGTGTATCCCTTTCTCTCTCTCTCTACTGAAAATTGTGAAAGCTGATACTTTTTTTTTTTTTTTTTTTTTTTCATTTTTAATTAACTTAATGCGTCCCGTTTCAGGTCCGTGTGATAATAAATTCCAATGGTCGGAAAAATAATATACATTCACAATTATGTATCAGATAAAAGGAGAAAATGAACGTGCGGACGCGTGCAATTGGATCTCGAGCTAATTTTTTTTTTTAAATTTGATTAAAAAAAAAAAAAAGAAAAAAAAAAGTAAGCGTCTCCAAGGGTCTTGAGTTTTCCAAGAAGTCGAGTAACCAAAGAGCTGCTGCTGCTGCTGCTGCAGTTATATTACATAAGATAAGCACGAGCTCTCGATATTGTTATTTGTTCTCCCTCGGACGGATAACCCTAATCGCACGGTCAAGTGAAATGGCTTTGTACATTCATAGACGATCGCGTTACACAGGAGCGATGACGAGCGATACCCGTGGGTGTGGTGGCATCGCTAAACTATACACATGCGAATAAACATCAGCGCCGAGTATTCAACATTTCCAAAGGGATCCCCTTGTAATAAATAGCCACGATGCACTGAACTCACGCGGCCCGCGGCGAGCGACATGATAAAAGAAATGCGGTGCGTCAGTACATTTATGAGAATAAAAACTCTGTCACGCAGCTATATAGTGTTTCTCTTTGTACACAATGCGCAGATAAGCGTTTTATCATCCCGGAGCTCACGCGTGTATATACAAACTAATGGGTTTCGTTGGCCATATCGCGTGATGTATTTTATATACATGACATATTCTCTAAGTTTCATACATGACGTATATATATCCTGCCGCCGGTGTCGTAACCCGAGCAATGCATAAATATTTGAACAACCCGAGAGGGCTTCGGTAGCTCTACAACATAGTCGTCGATAAAACTATTTATCACGTTTCATTAACGTCGTTTGTGATTTTCATTGAAAAATAAAAACTACCGTGTACACTTACTCTCGGTTGCGGTTATAATAGATAAAAAAAAAAAAAAAAAAAAAAAAAGAAGAAAATATCTCCGAGCAGGAAAAAAGTAGCATTCGCGCAAGATACAATTAAGTATACGGAGGAGGAGGGGGAGGGAGCGCGTGCTCGCACACTCGAGGAGAGAGGACGAGAATTTTCCTAATGCCATTAAACGCAGCACTTAGCGGTATAATCCCGTAAAAGCTACCCTCTCGGCGAGGAGAAAGAAAAAAAAAAGTACAACAATAAAGAAAAGCCCTCGGAAGAGGAGAAAAGAGGGAACCCGAGACGTGGTGATCGATCGGCAAGGAAGGAGAGTCTCTTTGTGAATAAAAATGCCCATGTGTATATATATATAATATCGGGGTTGATGCCTGTGGGTGCGGCAGCTTGTCCGCGCTGAAAATCCGTAACCAAAGGCTAATAGACCACGGAAGATGAGTCCAAGGTGCGTTCACTCGGGACCCTTAAGCATCAAAAATGCGCGATCTCATAAAAGGTCGCGTGCGAGCGAGCTCCTCTCGTTTTGGGGAATCGGGACAATGGGCGTATACACACACGTTAGGCGCGCCACTCGACGGAAAATTCGTCGCGCGCGACAACCAACGGTTGGCCCTTCTCGGGGGCCTTTTTACTTCACCGACGGGTTACACGCGTCCTCGATGAAAAAACTCACGGTTCTTTGACGTTGTTATTTTCCCCCCACCCACTTTTGGCTTTTCTCCCTTAAGTGGACATAATAGCAATGGCCACTGTAACCCACTGACGTGGCGGTTCCCTTTCGTTAACGTCGGGCTCCATTGTGCGCGGCTCGCCGACGACTTGCACGCGCGTGCAACGAGAAAACAGCTTGTCGATCGGTAGGATCGATCGTTAAAACGCGTTCTCTCGAGTCCGCCTCGCGAACCCAAATCCAAATTCGAGTGCCCCCCCCCCTTTTTTGTTTGTTTTCGAATCCCAACCCTCGAGGGTTCGCTCTCGAAGAATGATCAAAAAGCGTAACGGCAGAGTCGAGAGATTTCTTCATCGGGTACAAAGGGGCTTGGCTTGGCTTTTTTTTCAAATGATAGTATCCGAGTGGTCTTGTTTGAAATTTACATTTCGACAGCACTGTATAGTTTGTACGGGGGCGTGGGTCGGTGCACGTCGGATCAATCAGAAACGACGAAAATTTCGAGAGATCGCCGGGACACACAGGAAAGACGTGCACCCATACATTATGTCTCCGAGAGATATCACCACAGATCTTGTCGGTTAATACGAGCTTTAGGTAGGGGACGAAAGATGCATCGCGACGGGCGCTTGGCTTGGATTTTAAACTGGTATATTATAGGTTTAGAGGATCTTTTGGGATGTAGATCACCGTAGAGTCGTCGATGCCGGATTTGTCGTCTTGGGATCGGAAATTTGTAATGCTTGATTGACATCTACATTTTCGGTTTTATATTAACCACGTCACACGTTTACCCACATGTACAGCATCGGTTTTCCCCAATACGGAGAGCAAATGTTTCGCATAGCTCGCGCATTTCAGTACAAATATAAAATATAGTCCCTCGACGATGGAAAAAAAAAAAAAAAAAAAAAAAAAAAAGGCCCCGACAAGCATGGCTATTGTCTACACAACGAAATGCTTAATTTGCAACAATGGCTTAGAGAAAAGAGAAGGAGCGCATACAGGAACGTTTCAGAAATGAAAGAGAAGAAGGAGGTAGTGGTGGGGGGGGGGGGAAAAAAACCAAACGACAAGCTTCTTTTCCCTCCCACTCTCCAAATATACACGCACACACTTGAGAAACAATAAAGCAAAGCATCGCTCGCAAAAACATGTATATACCTACTCTCTCTCTCTCTCTCTAATCCCACTTCCCCGTGCGTCTACGACAAAACTCCACCCTCGGCGCGCCACAATTGTCCGGAATTGTACATCGAGCCTCTTAATTAAGTGCAAAACGAGAGAGAGAAAAAAGCGGCTCGCGAGAGAGAGCGACAAAGAGGGAACTCGATAGTGGCGCAAGATATGAGACCGAAGGAGCATGTACGGATATATACCAGCAAGGGAGAGAGAAAGAAAAGAATGGCTCTCTCTCTCTCTGAAAAAGGGCACTCGGAATGCCGTTCGGCCGAAAATATCGTCAAAAACACACGAGAGCACGCTCCTCTAGGTATATTATATACAGAGCAGGCTTCAAGTGGCCCGCGCTCTTGATTCCCATATCCCTGGCGCATTGTATAATAATGCGGTAAATAGCGGGAGGAGGAGGAGGAGGAGCTTTTTTTTTTATACAGCAACGAAAACGATGACGGCCCGTGCGCGCCTACCTTTTACGAATCGCAGTGCCAAGCCACGAGAGAGTTTGTACGTGCAACGAGAGCAACGCCAGGGGAACGACAAAAAGGCCTCGACGACAACGGAAAGGTCTCTCTTTCATTTTGGAGACTTCACCGCCACCAGCTGGGCCCTGCTTTTCGCTACAATGGAAGGAGGAGGAGAAGAAACTGCGCTCCGGCTACTCTTAATAAATTCCATTAGCCACGGAGTGACGGGAGAGATGAGCAATCTCCATTGTGCGTATATATGTATACCTGCATGAAAAACTATATACAGCCGATGCTCTTTTTTTTTTTCCTCCCCTCATCCCCTCGTATAGCTACCGTACCTACATTACCTTTGTTACGCGCGTCTTTTTTTTCCTTTCACGAACGGATCTCCTCTCGATTACCCTTGAACTCTCGGTTTCTCTGGAAAACCCGATGGAGGATCCATCGGCACACGTCAGTTGTGACGGGCCCGGTGCGGGGCATATCGGCTCCTGTTACGCTTATGTACCCTTGGCTGGTTCAGAAAAGAACGAGCGAAGCTTTTTCCTCGTGCGCTGTCGAAGCGAGAGTCGGGCGATCGGCCGGGTTTCCTTCTAAAATTAAAGCTCGCCCGAAGCTCGGCTCTTTGATCATCGACCACGCCGCCCCTGCCCCCGTGGGCCGCATAAATCGGCGCTTCGGAGCATTGCCGCAATGGACTGCAGCCGAAATGACGCAACGAGAGGGCTGATGGGCGCCGAGAGAGAGAAGGGCTGCCGATGGAATTTACAACTTCCTCGCCACGCGCACCGGATGGTGGCGGACCGCACGTGCTTGCGAAGAAGAAAATCCAGGGAGATTAGTGTGTCTGTACCGTAGCTATACTTGGTGCACGCCTCGGCGCCCAAGAAAATATTTTTCCAAACCCCGGGGCCCCGGACAGACGTGTATGCTTGTCGGGGCAGACGAAGACGAATCGATGGGACCAAAAGTAGGTATATATACCCTATACATTTGCGTTGATAAATATAAAAAAGAGGACGATGAACATTTATTGGCCGTAATGGTACCACGTGTAAGTATATGATGAGGAACTCCACCACCAAGTGCTTGGTGGAGATAAAAGAAAAAAAAAAGAAAAAAAGGACAAGTCTTCCGAAGGAGCCTCTCCCATGATCTCCTTAAATAACCCAACGAGATGCTAAATGTACACATTACGGTGTAGGAGAGTCCAATCTGCGTCAACCCTCTGCGGTCTGTTGCTTTTTCTAGCTTTCATCGGAGCATATAATATATATCCTGGGAAAATTCGCGTGCGTCTCGTTAAACCTCGCGCCGCAAACGAGGCTCTGTACTTGCGCGCACAATAATATATGAGAAGACGAAGAGAGGGGGGGGGGGAGTTTCACGCG